CCCCCCGCCCCCCCCCCCTCGATGCCGAGCACCCTTGCGACTGCAGGATGCAGCGCACCCTTCATGCGGCTCGCCGAATACCTCACGGCGCTTCGCGCTTGGTGATATGCTAGCCTGGTCCGGTGAAAACCCGGCATATCGCTCCGTCCCGGCTTTGTAGGAATGCGAGGCCTAACGACTACGGCATGCACGGTAATGAGTACGCCCCCCGCCCTCCCCCGCGTTTGAAGCAAACAAAGATCAAAACGACTTGCCTTTGCAGCGCAGACGTCATCGCATGACATGGCCGCACGTTCCGCAGGTGTCTTCATCAAAGGCCCGACATGCGATAGCTCCCCGCGCAACGCGTTCATCGGTGCCGGCACCAACCCGTCCGGCTTCAACTTCACGTACGGAGACTAAAAAAGGGGGAGTGGGAAGACAAGAACGGGGGCATGCACAGAGCAGGGGAGGGGGGGTGGGGGGGCCTTTATCCACAGATCCGTGTGATCAGTTCTCATTTCTCCGTTTGGCGACCCGACCCTATGTCGTGGTGACCCTCTTCGGTGTTTTCTTACGAGTTGACATGGCTTTCTTAGTAAAAATACACAAAACACACAGAAACACTACCCTTTCGAGATACAACCACAGCAGTCGTTTCTTTTCCGGACTGCTGTCCATTGGCATCCATTCGCTCTCAACAGCAGGGTTACGGTTGGCTGCTGTTTGTCAGGGTTAAGGTTGACAGCATCGACATGTACTGTACTTTAGCAGCCGTCTCTTGGACTATCACCGAGTCTATCACCGAGTCTCGATATGTACAGCTTGTGCATGTATACTTGTGCATACCCCCGCTCTTTTGCTTCTTGGACTGCACGTAAGCATGTAACGGCCAGACGAAGGGTTGTCTTCGTAGCAGAAGCAGCACCAGCAGCACTAACAACAACAACAACGGCAACAACAATTTACATACCGAAATTTCGCCAGCACCAACAACAAGCACGGCAACAACTGTCGAAATATCCGAACAGCTGTCAAAGTACCAAGCTTTTTGCACCAACGGCAACAAGATCAAATTACCGAAGCTTTTTGCACCAACGGCAACAAGACCAACACCAACAGCACCTCTCTCCGGTTGTTTCGTGTACTACCTTGGCCGCGTTGATGAGCATGACGTGCGCGTTCCAATACCGGAGGCTGTGCATCCCAGAGTGCTCGCCTGGTGTGGACACAGACATACACGGGAGGAGGAGGCATGACTAATAATATCAACAAGCAAGAGCGACTTCGGAGCACGACGCCGGCCGATCGAGAGACTGGCGATACAAGAGGGAATATAGACACAGTCAAATCAGCAGGACATCATAAAACAAAACGAAAACGGGGGCAACAAAGGGATCCACCCACGCTTCCAATCCGTGTGAAAAAAATGGCGTGTGAAAAAATAAAAATCAAAAGGTGCATCGTATGCCATCGTATGCTATCGTATGCTATCACAGGTCCAAGAGAGAACAGAAACGAGGTACAGCAGTATGGATCCGAATACAAGTAAAACCCCACCAAAAAAATAGAACTCGTGTACCGTAGGTTGCAAAATATATCGCACCCCCTTGACCGATTTTCAAAGCTCGACTACTACACCACCAAGAGGATGCCGACACCAAAGAATACGTTGTCGGAAAGCTCTCGACGAGACGCTCCCAACGCCGCCATTTTTCGGCACCGTCGCCGCTTTTCCGCCCGAGTGATCGAGCTCTGAAAATCTGCCCTGGGGGTGTGATATCTTACGTCAAGCAACCTACGGTACAGCCTGGCTAACCAATTCTGAAACCCATTGAAAACGACAGTTTGACATGATAGTGTCTCTTTGCTGGTTCATCTCCACATTCATCCATTCATTTTAGCTGATACCACATCGTCTTCCCTACAGCAGCAGCCCTCTCCTTCTCTCCTTTCTCACCCCTCCGATACTCGTGCCAGATCCCGAAGACATCGGAGAGAGGCTTGAAGGGGGAAGGCTTGGGCTTGGCCCCTCTCCGGGCAGGCGGCCCCTCCGTCTCCTGCAGGGTGTACCACATCACCAGCTGCTCGTTCTCTTGCGGTGTCAATGAGGTGGGCAGATCCTGCGCAGTTATCACAGCAGCAAGGGGCCGGGGGCGCCGAGGGGGGGG